TCACAGGGGATCCTTCTTCCCTAACCATCTGCATGGCACCTTCTGGCACTATGAAAGCCATCCATCCAGTGACATGGAGTTTCATCTTAGTCTTGGTTTCATCTCTCCTTCTGTGCTCACATCATTTACTGTCTTCAGAAATACTTCAGAAAGGTCTTACCGACCTTTCCTGGTGTACACTGACATTAGTGGCAATAGCCTTGGTTAATTTGAGGAAATCTAGGAATTCTTTGGCCAATAGCTCAAAAAGGGGCAACCCACTCCTGATACTATAATTTTTCTCAGCAGTTGTGCAGTTTGGGGAGCCTCTGTTCTTAATTTTATACAGGATTAGGTGTTGTAGGCTTTACTCAATTATCCTGGTGGGTATCACTTGTATCTCAGCCAACCATAAAGCTCCCAAGAATCTTACACCTAAAGCTGGCCTTTGTTTCTTCAGGTGTACTTGATAACTTTCAAATGGGTTTCACATCTGTAAAACACTCAGAGTTTAACATCATATTTTAAATCAAACATAGACAAGGTCTAACAGTGTGGGAATATTTTATCTATTTGTATTAGTTGTTTTTGCTATATATCACTGTTGGGTACCAAGAAGCATTAACTTGGTTAGTTTTTAACTATCTTTACTTATTCCTTTGGAGTCATTCCATATTCTGGGGTTTTTACATGGAGCATCTTTGTATCTTCTTGTCCTTGATACATTCACAGGTGCTGGCTCCAGTTGCCTGACCTTGCACCAGGCTAAGGAGGCAGAGGGTCCCTCTTGTCCCTGCTGCACCTGTTGATTCTCTGAGTCAGGGTGGCCCTGGATCTTGCTTCTGGCTTTAGCCATATTTACCATCTGCCGACTAACTATAACTGGCTGCTGAGGGAGACCCTGGTGCAAAAAAAAAAAAAAAAAAAGCCTCCACTCCACTCCTAGCATAACCTTTCTCAAGAGAGAAATGTTCCTTGTTAAAATCTTTGGGGATCCTTAATGACCTCTGGGACAGTTTTTATTCTTTGTTTGTCTTCTGTGAACTATCCCTCAGGTTCTAAAGCCTTCCAGAAACTCCTTAGTACAGAATTTGGTTTTTGCTCAATTTTTTCTTTAGGAACTTAGGCTTGACATAAACCTTGCCCCAATTGTCTTTGTATAACCCAAATGGACCTCTTTTTCTGTCTTGTCTTTTTTTATATCTCTTGTAGGTTGTTTTATTATTTTACAGACAGGTTTTACAGGCTGGTTTGAGTCACTTAGATCTGCCAAAATCTGTTGCTTTACAAAGATCATGTCTCATTAAGGGCCCGACTTAGCAAAACCATTAAGGCTCCATACCATTCTCAATGTCTCTTTTGAATTGTTTTTCTTATAGCTCTGGTGAACACAGTCCTATATGGCCCAGAAAACTGAGCATCATATATTGTTTTTCTCATACCTAGTTCTCTCAGCAATGCCTATCGCACTTCTATGGTCCTCCAGCACCTGTTAATCATGGGAGTCTCCATTGGTGATGACCAAGTATCTTTAATGTTTTGCACAAACCATTCCATTAGGGTATGCTCCCCCTGTATTGGTGTAGGTTAAACAGCCTATATCACAAGGATAGATGTGTGGTTATGTAACTCAGCTGTGATGTTTCTGAAGGATTTAAACTAATATTATTTACTCCCATGTCCCATATCCTCATGAGCCACATGGTGAGGGGCTCTTTTATTGTTTAAAAGACTTTCCTAGTCCCAACAGTTCAAGTGTGGGGTATTTTCTGCTGTCTATGCTATTGTTAAGCTTTTGTCAACATATTGAAACAACTATTTTCTTTTTTGTTTCAAAGGTTGAATCTGAGGGGCAGCTTTAGCTACTTTTATTTCTAAGTTGTTTCTTTTCTCATTGCTAGCTATCCTTTTCCCTGGGTTTTTTGCTGAGTCTTATATCACATGTCTAATTTGGCCTTTCTTTCTCTCTTCAATGGTTTATTCCATTTATTTGTAAGCTCTCATGCTAAGACTGAATTTGCCAGTAACTCCTCAGCTTTTAAGCCTCTGTGGGATCTGTTGCCTTTCCTTGGACAAGTCTTTTGCTATGCAAAGAAGTGGCCATGCCACTTTTGCTTCCAAGGTTTGTAAAATTTTATCTAGACTTTCCACAGTCCTTAAAGAATTTTCATACATACATTGCTGTGACCCCTATCTCTCAAGAAACGGAGCTATTTTGCACCATTTACAGGATTGCGGCCATCCATGGATTTTCTCCATTAAATTTGTCCCTGTCTGTGTAGGTGGCCTCATTTTACAAATTTTGCTATCCATCACATAACCCATGTGACCATTGCTAACCCTGTTAAGTCTATAGGGGTTGCCCACATTTTCTCCTGGGCTGCCACCAGCTTCTCTGGGATAGGTCATGTTACTGCACTGGACACCTCACCATGCCCATCTCCACCCCTCTGAATTTGGAGACCTGCCCTGGGTCTCCCACCAGCTTCTCTCTATCAGAGACTTCCCCATTGCTTTTCTTGAAGTCCTGCAGTTTGTCAAGTATCCAGCTGTACTATGTCAATTTGTTGTATCAAATCCCCTCCCACCCCCCCACCCCCTTGCAACCCCGATTCCCCCAGGAGACCTGTACATGCTTTCTGGGATCCCAGGGCCATGAGGTCCTAAAGCAGACTAACAAAATAGACATGACACATTTTATTTAGGTCTTGGTCTATAGTATAACTTCCGGAAAAAGGGGTTACTTACCAAGGCATGGTCACTCATGGGCCCTGTTTTTACGTCTTGGCTAAACTTTGAGACCTCCACCCGTCAGTGGCCCACCAGCTGTCCTTGCACCCAGTTCACTAAGTTGGCAACTCTTCCCTTTATTCCCAGTGTCCTTAGCACTTCCCAAAGTCCTTAGTGCTTCCCAGCACCCTCAGCGTCTGTCCTTAGACCCTCCCCCTCATGATTGATGGGGTGGGAGGAGTGACTGTCTCAGGGGAACATGTTTATACAACGAGTGTTCAGTGTAGAGGTTCCATTGTAGATATATCACTAAGGCTGGCATCTCACAGACACTTATTCATTGATTTGTGCTCTAATATTATTTCTTCTCATCTGTTGAGTTTGGGTTTGTGTTTTCTTTTCCAAATTCTTGAGCTACTGTCATAAAAGCACCATGGCATTAGCTCAAAAACAGCCATGTAGATCAATGGAACAAAATAGAAGACTCAAACAGGAGTGCGTGCAACTTCAGCCACAGGATATTTGGCAAAGGTGCCAAAAATATGCACCAGAGGAAAGACAGCATTCTCAACAAATGGTGCTGGCAAAACTAGATGTAGAAAAATTAAATTAGACCTATACCTTCACCTTGCATAAATTCACCTCCAAAAGTATCAAAGCCCTTAATGTGAATCCTGAAATTCTGAAACTGTTAGAGAAAATCATAGGCAGTAAGTGACTTTCTAAATCAGACATCAGTTTCTCAGAAATTAAAGTCAACAATCAACAAGTGGGACCTCATTAAAATAAAAAAGTTTCTGTATAGCAAAGGAAATAACTAATCAAGTGAAGAGGAAGCCCACAGAGTAGGAAAAAATCATCAATAACTACACATCTGACAGAAGATTAATATCCAGAATATACAAAGAGCTCAAAAAACAAAGAATCAAGAAAACAAATGACAAGATTAAAGGATGGGCTATGGCTCTAAACAAAGAACTCTCAAAAGAAAATAAAAATGACTAAGAAACACCCCAAGATGTGTTCAACACATCTTAGAAATTAAGTAAATGCAAATCAAAACCACTTTATGATTTCATTTTACCCTAGTATCACAAAGTTTACTAGGACTATTGTTTCCTAGCAACAGTGGAAGTTTATCTTTCTGTCTCCACTGAGGAATATATGCCCAAAGAGTGAAAGAAAAAATTGCATAAAATTTTGAGTCCCTCAGGAACTATAAAGATGATGATCCAGTGTGTAACTACGATTCCCTCAGTTCCTTCTATCTGATTACCATTGTCTGGGGAAGAGACTAAGTGTACTTCTACCCTGTTTACGAGCAAAGTAATTGTGCAACTAAGCTCTCACTAAATCCTTTGTGCTTTATCCAATGGCAATGGAGTGATGTTAATAAAATTCATTTTCTCTACTTCTAGAAAAAACAAGGGTATTAAATCACAAATCATATTTTACAATAAGAAATATATTTTTGGAAATTCACACAGTAAATGCTGACCACATCTTAGAATTAAAGACTCCATAATATTGGAATCTGAAATTATTCTACTAGAAAAAGAATGATAAATAGCCAAACAAGGAAACTTCAAGGTTTGGACTGAAAATGGTGATTTTCTGAATTCCATGCATAGTAACCCACTTTAAAATACACAATGGTCTTTATTTAGCAACACTTGTTATTCCCTATAGTGTGCAATCTGGAGACTCAAGTGAAACTGGTGGAAGAAAGTGTTCAGAGAGCAGAGTATTAGAGGCATCGGTGGCCACAGGAATTGCAACATCTCCACTATGGTTTCTTCTTCAAGGTCAGGACTTGATTCTTGCAGATTCATGATGCTTTCTTTGACAATGGTCAGTAAATTCTCTCCATCTCCAGGACTCACTCTTGTTTGTTTAGTTTTGCATTAGACAAATATTTTTCATTTACACTACAGCAGGGATGAATCTGCAATATCATCCTGTACCAGGTTGCAAAGGCACCTGCTCCAAATTTTATTGGTGTGAGGACTCTAATGAAGTACGTAATGCGATTAGAGAAAGTTGAATCATTTCTACTGAATTCTTCTCCTTTACCTCTATTTTTTTAATACAGAAAAACACACTGAAATTTGGCCCCGTTGATATCTATATGTAAGATAAGTTGTGTGTTACTACACCTGCTGTGTTCAGAAGATATTGGAAAGAAACATTCCCTGCACACACTTCACAGGTGGGGAAGAAACCATGATTGGAAGAGTGGATCATCCTCTAATGTAGATTGTTCATATAACTAAAGACAGTTTTAGAAAAGAATGGCCCCTACAAATATCTCTTTGGTGACTGAATTCATTCTTGTAGGATTAGCAGACAAGCATGATCTCCAAGTACTTTTGTTCTGTGTGTTTCTAACAATGTATATGGTCACAGCACTGGGAAATTTGGGTTTGATGATTCTAGTTTTGCTGAACTCACACCTTCATATCCCCATGTACTTTTTTCTACTTAACTTGTCTTTTATAGACCTCTGTTATTCTTCTGTCTTTACACCCAAAATGCTGATGAGCTTCTTGTTAAGGAAGAATGTCATTTCTTACACAGGATGTATGACTCAGCTCTATTTCTTTTGTTTTTTTGTGGTTTCTGAATGCTATGTTCTGACATCAATGGCCTATGATCGCTATGTGGCCATCTGCAATCCACTCTTGTATAACATTGCCATGTCCCCTAAGGTCTGTTTAAGTCTTATGTTTGGTTCATACTTGATGGCATTTTCTGATGCCATGGCTCACACTGGATGCATGCTGAGACTGACCTTCTGTGATCGAAACATCATCAACCACTATTTCTGTGACATCCTCCCTTTGTTGCAGCTCTCCTGCACCAGCACCTATGTCAATGAGCTTGTAGCTTATGTTGTGGTGATCATCAACATCATTGTGCCCACACCCACCATCTTTATCTCTTACTTTTTCATCATCTCCAGTATCCTCCGCATTCGTTCCACAGAGGGCAGGGCCAAAGCTTTCAGCACCTGCAGCTCACATATAATTGTTGTTTCTTTGTTCTTTGGTTCAGGTGCATTTATGTATTTCAAACCTCCCTCAGCTGGGTCTACAGATGAGGGAAAGATCTCCTCTATCTTTTATACCAATGTGGTTCCCATGATGAATCCATTAATCTATAGCTTGAGAAATAAAGATGTTAAATTTGCCCTGAGAAAAACCTTAACCAGCTGCAAGTTTTAAATGGCTATAAGTGAGTCCTTGTCTTTATTGGACACAGATCTATTTTTATTTAAGTTGAATATTTGAGTCCCAGGCTTTTTGTATTTATTCCTTAGATAATATGTTTCTTCATTTCAAATTGCTTTTTCAATTTATTTAACTGGCAGAAATTACTGGCGGTTGTGGAAATTTAATATGCAACAGGGTATGCTGATGTGATAATGAAGTATAACCTCTTTTTTTTCTATCATGTGAAGGAAATTTGAGTCCTTTTGTATTTGTTCATATTTGTGGAATATATCTTCTTTCTTTATCATTTCCACAATTTTATATGCATTGTGGCATGTGTCCTATTTAAGAATAATGCTAAGAAAAATACTTCAGTCTTTGCCCCGTTTTATTAAAAAAGTACACTTTTTTCATAAAAATGAAAAATAGTTCTAAAACATAGTCTAGTAAAGTAACACTATGGTGACATTTCCTTTGTGTGTGGTTTCTTATTTTCAATTGGTCATATGTCTTTTTCAAAGTGTAATTCAGAACATCTGTCTCTCTTCTGTGTATCCTTGATTGGTGAGTAACATAATTCATGCTATTTCCAATGTCACAGATATGCAAGACTTTTTAAAGACTATCACATATGTTCTTTTTTCAACTATTTGCAGTGCATTGCATGCTTCTGTTAGGAAGTACTTCACATTATGTGCAAGCATAGAAGAAATTACATTGCTAACATGCTTACTGTATGTACAGAATACTTATGCTCAGATACATTAATGACAATGGTAATCATTGTTTGTTGTGGTTTCTGAATGCTATGTTCTGACATCAATGGCCTATGATAACGAGTGGTATAATGAAAACTGTAGAATTTCCCTTTTGTTTCAAGTTTCAAATATATGACAGTTCCAGTTTATATGCTGTAGGCTTGTTTTCTCATTATGACTTCAAGAAAAATGAGCCTGAGGAAATATTTCAGCTTTGAAATTTGATTATGGTTTGTCTCTAGGTGATAAATATATGTCTTTCAATAACTATTATTTTATTTTATTTTGTATTTTTCTTTGTGTTATAACAGATTGATCTCTTTGCAATAGAGAATTGAATTATCCATAAAATTAAAAAGAACATGATTTGGACATTTTTAGATTGTAACAATTCAAGAAAAGAGGAACTGAGACAGAAAGGGCACCAACAACAGGCATTAGTCCATGATCTATATAGAAACATAGAGAATAAAGAAGAGCTCCTCTCTGTAAAGGAGTTTTGAAAATCACATTACTATCTGAATCTTAATTTTTCTGTAAAGCATTTCAATGATTCATCCTAATTTCTCACATACTCTTTAAAACCCAGAATGACCTTATGTTAATAGAGTAGTGAGTAATGAAGATTTCTATATGGAAAATGAAGATAGGCTACATTTGTAGGGGGTCTAATACATTGAGGACAGCAGAGTCAGGAGATAAACAGCAAGTGGTCATTGAGATGTTAGCAGAATAATTTCAGGCAGCAAGGAACAGGATCCTGAAAGCCTCTCTCTAAGGCTCTTTTAATTTTTCCTTTCTGGAACTTTTTAGCTGTATTGTGAGAATCCAAAGATCTCAACAGATAAAACCTCAAGTTATTTGATAGTAAATTTTAACTGAAAGGAAAACCTGGAGATAAATAAACCATTTCAATTGGTTTGCATTTGTAGGCTATTCCAAAATGGTTTTTTAAGTTGCAAAATGAATAAATTATTTATAACATTAATTGTGTTAGCACAATGAACACTAGCACAATATTTTCCTGTAACTCTTGAACTGCTTCTTTGACTCTACTCTGAATCAAGGTGAGTAGGTAAAGTAGTTTAGAGTCAGGAGTCATCTCAAAATATTCATCTGAAACATGAAAAACTGAAATAACTATGGTGAGATTTTTATATTCTTATGTAGAGACCCTGTCTTTCACAGAGTATTGGAAGATGATAGAATAGTATTTATAATTTAAAGTTTCTCTGTGCCGTAGGAGGAATCAGCCTACATCATATATACATGTAGCAAAATGTGTAGGGGTGGCATTGCTCTTGACACATGTTGTACAATTTATTCTGCATTGTTCCATTTGGTGGTCTCTGTACTACTCTGGGAAGAATTGCAAGAGTGGGAAAGGGAATTTTAGTTGGCATTTGATAGATTATGGGTCTCCTGCCCACAGGCTTCATGGCCTGCTTGAAATAAAAAATAATAAGTACTTGAACTCAAACCAGGATTCAGTATTTTCATCCAATATCTATTATGGTTTTCATAGTTTTATTTTGCTGTTTTACATACTTTACAAAGTGAGTAAAACCATGTTATAAAAAATACTGTGGAACAGAAATAAAAACAAAATTCTCAAATAAGGTAAATGCCCCTAAATTATCTTTCATATTTTGTATTTCAAAACTCTATTGCCCATTTTAGAATGTAGGAATATATTGCTTTTAAACTGTATTATACAATATATAAAATCATATGTCAGCATCTTACAGAAATACTTACTGGCAAAGGTTGTTTCTCATTCCCAGTGTCAGCAGTAAGTTTTTATGTTAAGTATTTAATTTAATATCATTAGTGGTATTTAGCACCAAAGTGGTATATGATACCAATATAAGTGATTCATACAGGTATGATGGCAGGCAGAGATGGCACTTTTTACCTTTTCCTCCATATTAAACTATCCTAGTTTTTGTTGCAGTGATGTGTCCAGAGGACATGTCCAGGCAGGACAAATAACATTCTAGGACCTCATTATGAACTTTTCACTTTCTCTTTTTTCTCATAGAAGCAGAATAGAGAAAATAGGGCTTCACTTAGATACTGCAGCTATAATGAAAAGCCAAGGATTCAACAAAAGACAGATAAGAGATTCATAGATGAATTAACCATTAAAAAAGTGTATGTTGAGCCAGGCATGGTGGCTTGTGCCTTTAGTCCCAGCATTTGGAAGGTAGGGGCAGGAAAATTCTGTGAGATTGAGACCAGCATCATCTACAGAGTGAGCTCCAGGCTACAGGGAGATACCGACTTATAAAATTTATATGTAGCTATGCCTTATGGAACACTCAGGAAGACCACAAGTTCAACATCAACCTGTGTAATTTATGAAGACTCTCGCTAAGGTTTTGAGTAATGAAGATTCTTATATTGAGAAATGAAGAAAGGTTACATTTGTGTGATCCAAGTAAGTGATGACAATAGAGTTGGGAGATAGATAGCAAACATATATTGAGATGCTGATAAGGAAGAAAGACTTCAAAGAGTGAAAGCCTCCCTCTATGGCTCCTTTTTTCTTTCCTTGAACTTAATATTGTGAAGATCAAAATATCTCTCTGAATAGATTAAAAAGCTCAAGTTATTTACAGTAATAAAAGTTAAAACCAAAAGATGACTGGAGACAAATAATTCAAACATCATTTGGTTTTCCCATAGTATTCCCATATGCCTTTCAGGACCACAATCAGTCAGTCATTTCAAATACCATTTCTGACGATAAAGAAAAGGAACAAGAGCAGCAGCAATAAGAATGAGGGGAAATGTAGTAATGCACAGAAACAATGTATTTGCTTCTTTATGAATTTTTGGATTATTTACTTTGTTCTTGTCATTACCATTTCATTGATGTCTGCCCTTGTTTTCATTATTTCTTTATATGTAATGATTTGGAATTTGACTTGTTTTACTTTCTCTAAGCTTTGCTACTATTTTTGAGTGCCCACAGATATTTAATGCTGTCATTTATAGATATAGATTTACTCCTTGAAACACTTCCACCATTTCCTGGAGGTTCTATTACATTGTACCTTCATTTAATTTGCATCCAGGACAATTTAAGTTTCCCCTACTGATTTCCTAAATATCTCTTTTATTTATCATTCAATAGTTTAATTCAATCTCTTTGAATGTGTGTATTTTCTGTAGTTTCTCTTGCTTGTGATTTCAAATTTATTCCGCTCCTTTATGTGTTGCTACATGGATATATGAAGTGGGTTGCTTCTATTCAAATAGAATAAATTATTTCAATTTACTTGTAATTTTTGAGAATTGCTTTCTGTCCTGAAATATGGTCTATTTTATAAACTGTTATTTGAGCCATGTCAAAGAATGTGCATTCTACAATATTTGAATGGAACACTCTGTAAAGATCTATTAAATGATTTACACTATAATATCAGTTGTCTTTGATATTTCTTTATTAAGCCTTTGTCTGAGTTATGTAAGTTTTGGGTAGAGTTTTGTGTTGAAGTAAGTCTGTGCCATTACAGCCATTACTCCTGTTTTATAAATTTAATTGTGCCAGTATTTAGTGTGCATATTTAAAAAAATCTATATCCCATTGAATGATTATTAATCAATACAAAGTGAGCTTTATTTAGATGGACAATGTTGGCTGGATGTTTGATTTTCAGATATTAGAGTGGGGATGCATGCTTATTCTCTTCTTTAAGTCCATTTCTTTGGTATGCCATTTTCATCCTTTCATCCCGAAGTTTCTTTAGTATTTTCTAGTGACGTGTAATTCTTTTTTAAAGTTATTTATTTAATAACCACACAATTAGAAGAAGTGTTTCATTACAACAGCATTGACATATTCAATAACAATTTCCAGAGCTAAGATGCATCTCCTTCAAAACTGGCTGTAAAATTTTAGGTTTACAGGTCAATTAATAGAGTTATACAATATTGTACTCAGTATAAACCCTATAAGACATAAAATTAAATGAGTTTTTAACTTTAAAAAGATCTCCATTTCACTATTAAAACACAGTTTCATAAAGAAAAATTCATTTTCAATACAATTGACACTAAGATGCAGATGCATTTCTAATCTCTATATATCTGATTAAGACTAGTCACAGTCAGTTACATTCTAAGCTCCTTGGCATCTGGGCATAGATATAAAGTCAGGTAGATTTCAATGGTAATGATTTTCACATTCACCAATTATTAAGGAACAAATTTTTATGCTTTGAAGAATTATTTTTTTTTAATTAATAA